TCAATCCATCCATCCATCCATCCATCCATCCATCCATCTATCTATCTCTTTCTATCTCTCTACCTCTATCTCTCTATCACTCTCTATCTCTCAATCCATCCATCCATCCATCCATCCATCCATCCATCTATCTATCTATCTCTCTCTCTATCTATCTATCATCTATCTATCTATCTATCTCTTTCTATCTCTCCCTATCCCCCTCTCTCTATCGCTATCTCTCTATCTCTCCATCCATCCACCCATCTATCTCTTTCTATCTCTCCCTACCTCTATCTCTCTATCACTCTCTATCTCTCCATCCATCCATCCATCCATCCATCTCTCTATCTATCTCTTTCTATCTCTCCCTATCCCCCTCTCTCTATCGCTATCTCTCTATCTCTCCATCCATCCATCCATCTATCTCTTTCTATCTCTCCCTACCTCTATCTCTCTATCACTCTCTATCTCTCCATCCATCCATCCATCCATCCATCTCTCTATCTATCTCTTTCTATCTCTCCCTACTCCCCCTCTCTATCGCTATCTCTCTATCTCTCAATCCATCCATCTATCTCTTTCTATCTCTCCCTACCTCTATCTCTCTATCACTCTCTATCACTATCTCTCTATCTCTTAATCCATCCATCCATCTATTTCTTTCTAACTCTCCCTACCTCTGTCTCTCTATCACTCTCTATTGCTAGTTCTCTATCTATCTCAATCCATCCATCCATCCATCCATCCATCCATCCATCTATCTATCTATCTATCTCTTTCTATCTCTCTCTATCTCTCTATGTTTCTATGTATGTATGTATGTCTGTCTGTCTGTCTGTCTTCTATTGATATCTCCAATTCATGACATCTGGACACCTAACAGCCATGAAAGACTATCCAAAAACAAACCCCACCAGCAAGCAAGGTGAAAAGAACCGGCACCAACAACTTCGCATTTCTCAACCTTAGTAACTTCAAGATATGTGGACATGGCTGACTGGGGAATTCTGGGAGTTAAGCTCACCCCTTTTTCAAGTCGTTGAGAAACATTGACGTAGCCCAAACCCCACCTGGGCTCTGCCACATATCTGGATCCTCATGTAACAAGGCAGGGTCTCGTGAAAAGCCAGCAGGGCTGGGTCAAGCTATACGGAGTTATTCCTAAGGGCAAACGCCACATCGGAAAAGACCCTCTTCCTGGTCCCCACAAAACGACATTCCTGGCAGACCTCAAGCCAGCCTCTTCTGCATTTTTTGCAAGCCTTGAAAACCAGCGAAACAAAGAAGTCGTGTAAAGCGCCCGTTCTGAAGGAGTGCCAAGTTGCCAATTCATGTACCAAGCCCATTGTGCAAAAGATAGCCAGTTTCCACCCTGACATGGGAGTTGAGCAAAGCTGTCTCTTGGCCATCACAGAACAATTAACTAAACATCATCTAATCAATTGGCTGAGATTTCTTTGACCAGATGTGATCCACATTACCGAATTCAATAGGATTTGCTCCCCCTTATTATCGATTTGGGATGGCAGCCTGCAGTTATTTCTTGCACACGCCGTAGTTCCTCTTCCTCTTATTCTCGAAACTAAACAAGAGAGAGAGACAGAAAGACCTGCAGGCAAATTCCAGAAACTTAGCTGATTTGAGACCCGTATATATATATATTTATTTTTTTTAAAAAAATAAAAAATAAAAGTTAGCATTGCTGCACAAAGTCAATTTATATAACCCCAGTCCATTTCGGATTGTGCAGTCAGCAAGAAACATATCCAACTTTTCATTTCTCCTGAATATTACAATCATTGGAGGAAAACTTTCTGGCATTGACCCAAACAACTCCTGTTTTTATCCTGCAAATCTCTTTACAGAACATTCTTAGCCTATCGGAAGCAAGTTAAAAACATTAGGGTGTTGTGGTACCGCTGGAGAGTTGCCCGAGGAGCTGGCAGCGGAGTCAGACAGTGAGGAGGTTGGGGAGGAACATGGGCCAGTCCTGGGGGCCGAGGAAAGCTCAGACGGGGGCTCTGCGTCGGAGGCAGAGAGGGAGCTAGACAGCAGTGAGGCAGAAGAACAGCTGGAGCCTGTTCCCAGTGTGCGCATGTGCAGAGCTGCCGGAGGACAAGAACAACGAAGAAAGCAGGGTTGACTTGGGAGTAAAGCCACACCTTGGAGGAGATTGGCCCGTCCCATAGGAAACAAATGAGGAGCGAATGGGGAGGGGGCTTTTGAAGGAAACCATTCATTCCTTCGGTCGTTTCAGGAGTGGAAAGTTCTGGTTGTGACTATAAGAGACTCTGTGCCAAGATTTGCCTTGCCCTGCGTTTGGAAACTAGTTATCTGGCAGCTCTCCAAGCGAGATAAGGTTCGTGTGTATGAATATTCCTTGGAAAGACTGTTTGCTAAGCCTTGCTGACTGTGAAGGAAAGGAATTCATAGTGGTATAAATAAAAGAGGTTTCGGTGGGACCAAGACTCCCCTTCTTTTTTAGATTTTAGATTTAGATTTTAAGTTTATTTGTATGCCGCCCTTTTCCCTGGGGGGACTCAGGGTGGCTCACAATTCAAGGGGAGTGGAAGTACAAAACAAGTTATACATATAAGACAATACATCGTTAAAAACACAACAGTCGTACTATTCGGGTGGGGTTTGTAACTTGAGGTCTACCTGTAGTACTACTAGTAGGAGTAGCAGAGTTGGAGATCAACTATGTGTCACTCTTGAGCAATTCTTTTTTGATGGACTGATCAGTTGAGGCTGAAGGAAGCCTCTCCCATCCTTCGTGTAACTGGGTTAAAACATATATCCCTCCATCCTTGTGTCCATGCACCACAGTTATTCTACCACTCCGGTCTGGTGCTTCTGGTCCTATCACCAATGGAAGGGTGAAATAAAAGAGCACAAGATCCAACCTCACAGGTTTTGGCTTTGGGTTAAGAAGTCGTTACTCCTCCAGAGAATCAGAAAAGAGCCCACTCTGCATTTCCTGGCTCCTGGGAACGATGATTTCCACAAACGCTTACTTTATCCTGGAACTGAAGATGAATCTCAGTCAACAGGCGCAGACCAATAGCAGTAGACCAACCACATGTACAATGCCATTTTCTAGACCAAAGGCTCTCCATAACTTTAAGACTTGGGGACTTCAAGTTCCCGAATTCCTGAGCCAGCTGCAAATCCTAAAGTCCACAAGTCTTAAAGTTTCCAAGTTTGGAGACCCCTGATCTAGATGATGTGGTGGTTATGGAGATCAGGTATCCCATCCTGCCTCAGATCTAACCCTGACCCTAACCCAGGGGTTGGCAACCCACGGCTCTGGAGCCGCATGTGGCTCTTTCAACCCTCTGCTGCAGCTTCCTGTTGCCGGTCAGCTCCACAATTGGTAGGGCTTTCGGTTAGGACAGGTAGAGGAAAAAGGACGCCACGCTAGGAGGAGACTCTATGGCGGGGAAACTGGGCTTCCAGTTGGCAGAGGAAAAGGGATGCCATGCTAGGAGGAGACTCTATGGTGGGGAAACCGGGCTTCCTGTTGGCAGAGGAAAAAGGATGCCATGCTAGGAGGAGACTCTATGGTGGGGGAACCGGGCTTCCTGTTGGCAGAGGAAAAAGGATGCCATGCTAGGAGGAGACTCTATGGTGGGGGAACCGGGCTTCCTGTTGGCAGAGGAAAAAGGATGCCATGCTAGGAGGAGACTCTATGGTGGGGGAACCGGGCTTCCGGTTGGCTCCAGAATTGAACAGGGGGCTTCCGGTTAGGACCTTTGTGGCTCTTTGAGTGTTTAAGGTTGCCGACCCTTGCCCTAACCCATCCAAACCCATCAGATGCCAAACTGGTTCCTTCTCCAGGTCCCCGACAGGAGCTGGGCCTCCTGAGAATGCATCGAGTCCTTGCCAAGCCATGTGGGTTTTCTGCCATCCCCAAGGCAGGCGCCAGCCCTACTCACATGCCAAGGAGCTTGGCACCTCCACCCCAAGGCCCCGGCCAGCCCGCCTGCCCGCTGAGCGCCCATTCCAAAAACCACAGGCAGCCTGACCGTTTCCCTTTGCCAAGCTCACCGAGCAAGGTTGCCCTAAGCCAAACCTGGAGGCATTGTCATTATTACTATTATTATGGCCTGACACACCGTCAGCCAGTTGTTCCGATTGGATTTGGCATTTCCCACCCCCATCTATCGAGTCTTTCCCAAAGACTGGCAGATTGGCAGATGTGAAGGCTTGGCAGCGTTACAGGAATCGTCGCCGGAGGTCAGCTGCTCCGAGTCAAGCTGCCTTTTGCAACTGACCTATGGTGAGTTTGTCGATGCCGCTGGTGTGCAAGTGGCACGCCAGGATTGCCCCCAAAGTAGCGTGGATGCTACTTTTGCCCTCTTTCACAACCTTCTATTTGCAGGTCTTCGTATTTTGCTTATCTTTTATAGTTCCTTCTCTTCCGTTGTTGTTGATGATGTTGTTTTATTCAATCTTGGCTCATGGCCATTGGGGGATTGGCAGCTGCCCAGAGTTGGCGATAAGAAGGGCATCTCTATATCTTAAAAAAGGCCCTCTATTTATTTTTAAAAAATAAATAGAGGGCCTCTCCCCACCTGCCTTTTCCCACCTAAAGCTCCTTTCTTCTTGCCCATCTCTGCCGTTGCTCCCCGGACATTTCTTTTTGGTACGTCCCCCTCCTTTTGCAGGTTTCTGGAAAGGGGGGGCTGTGACACCCCTCCTATCCCTCTGAACCAGACGGTGCCAAACCGTCCGGCCTCTTTAAGGCAGCCAGTGCCATCTCCTTCCCTCCCCCCCTCCGGGCGCCGAACCCATCCGCATGCCGTATTAGAATTGTAGAAGTAATAAA